CAGCTCTACACCTTGTTATCTCAGATTCTCCAGCATCTGCAGTTCCTACTATCTCTCGCAAGCTATGTTTTGTTTGCTGGTCTCTGCTAAGTAGCAATTGTGGTGCCAAGAATGGGCCTCGGTGCCTGAGGGCCAGGGAAAGGAAAGAAACATCAGGTTGAATTCTGTTCCTGTTTTCAACCTAGTGTTCCCCTGTTAGACTGTGGACATGTTGATGTCAGGCAAGCATTGGATCAAATTAGACTGATGTGAAAAATGGTCATTCGGGAAAAGTACTGGGACTTAGTCACTGGTCACAGAACTGTATCCCAGCAACAGTAAACACCTTCATTGAAGGTGAGAAGGGGGAAAAGTGTACTTAAAAGAAAAATAATTTGATTAATAGGATGAAAGAATGGGGTCAAGCTTACATTAAGTGTAAAAAAAAAAGCATTTATTAACAAAAGGAATCATTGGTATAGCGTGTATGGGTGCATAAACACCTCATGCTTCAGTGTGGGTTTGTTTACAGACTTCCAAACAAATGAGTTCCTAATCCTATCTGGTTTTGGAGGAGGTTGTTCAAAGGACAGCCTAATGAAGGCTCCCCTCTCCCTTCTGATGGGAATTCCACATGTGCTATGTGCTTTCACCAAACTGGTATAGGCAACGTTAAGAACTCTGAGACATGGGGAATTCTGGGTTCAAACTGGCATGCCACCAAATTATGGGCCACAGTTCTGCATTACTTTTCAGGAAGGGAAAGAACCCAACTGTCATTATCTCTGCTCATAAACCACCTAAGTATTTGTAAACAGTACCTCCAAGGAAAGGTTCTGCAAGTGGTACATTGTCTGCAGCCCTTGTGAGGTGAAATATTCCAGACAGTTAGGACAGCCCAGACCTGTTAAAAAACTATGAAAGAAAATTCAATAAATACATAGAATGAGGCTGACTACAAAACAGTACAGGTTTACTGAGCTTGAATGGGCTGACCAGAAAACATTACAGGTTTATTAACCAGAAAATGCTACAGATTTATTGAACTGAATGCTAATATGGACATCTTGAGCAACAGCATCTACCCAACTATTATCTGGGTTTATTATTCTCACCAACCTAATCTACCCTTTTCTTTTCTGAAGGATGTGACTTGGACATTTCCAGAGCTGCCTGCCACCTTCTGATGCCTCTTTCTTCAAAAATGATTTTTATTCACTTTTGAGTCTAAACAGTGAATGTTGGCAGGTTTGATTTTGAGAGGAGTTTCCAAGACTGATCCTGTCCTCAAGCACCATCTGTAGTGCTCATTTTCCAGCAGGGATTGCTGAATTGTGAGGAGGAAGGGCCTGAGTAATTTCTATCTTTTCTGATCCAGGGCAACTGAAGGTAACTATGACACCACTACAATTACTCTGGCAGATATCAGCTAAAAGCAGAGATCGAAGAGCACACCATGAAGCCTTGCTGGCTCAGCTGCTTATAGGTTCACCATGACACATCACTGGGAAAGGTAAATCTGTTTAGCTGAGCCAAGAATTGAATAGCAAGTTAGTTACATCACTATATGAACCCAGGTGACTTCAAATTATATGATGTTAATTAATTGATATCTTTGTAGGAAAGAAATGCCCACAGCTAATCATCTGAAAGAGGGATATCTGGTGTAAAAGAGAAGATGGCTTACCTGACTAAAGCTGGGTCTGCAGTGTAGGGTGGGGGAGGAGTGCAGTGTGAAGTTGGCCCCATGCCTGCTGACTGTGAGGAATTTCCTCCATTCACATTACCATTAGTTGGTATATGATGATGGTGATGATGATGGTGGCTGTTCATTAGAGTTGGGCCTATAAAACAGAAAACACAATTTTAAAAGTTTGAAGGCAATATCCCTCTGTTTTAGAGATAGTAGGAACTGCAGATGCTGGAAAATCCGAGACAACAAGGTGCAGAGCTGGATGAACACAGCAGGCCAAGCAGCATCATAGGAGCAGGAAGGCTGACGTTTCAGGCCTAGACCCTTCATCGATGCTCATTTCTTCTAATCTCTGGACTTTTCATTGGTGTCTGATGAAATGTTTGCCATACTTGCTTCAATTTGTTAGCACAAAAGGTAATTTGTTGGGATGTAGAAAATGTTATTAATATTTTACAAAAATGCCTAAATATAGAGTCGTAGAAATGTACAGTGAGAAAACGGACAGTTTGGTCCAAGTTGTTCATACCAATCAGATAAATTAATCTCGTCCCATTTGCCAGCTTTTAGCCCATATCCCTCTAAACCCTTCCTATTCATATAGCCATTCAGATGCCTTTTAAATGTTGTAATTGTACCAGCCTCCAGCACCTCCTCTGGCAGCTCATTCCATACATGCACCACCCTCTGCACGGAAAAAGTTGTCCTGAGGCCCCTTTTAAATCTTTCCCCTCTCACCTTAAACCTATGCCCTCTAGTTTTAGACTCCCCTACCCTAGGGTAAAAACCTTGTCTATTCACCCTATCCATGCCCCTCTGTAAGATCACCTTTCAGTCTCTATCACTCCAGGGAAAATAGCCCCAGCCTATTTGGCCTCTCCCTATTGCTCAAACTCTCCAATCCTGGCAACATCCTTGTTAATCTTTTCTAAACACTTTCAAGTTTCACAATATCTTTCCTATAGCAGGGAGACCAGAATTGAAACATACTTGAACATACAGAACATACTTGAAAGGAAAAGAGAAGCCAGTATTCATATCTTGAGGTTATCTGAGCATGGACCTGCTGTTTCCTGAGATGTACTCTCCCTGAATGCTGCTCTATATTTGGAGCACTAATTTGAGGAATCACTCATACAACTATAAAATGTAAAATACATTGGATGTTGGAAGTCTGATGAATAGTCACCTTGACATGAAACGGTTTCTCCCCACAGATGCTATTTGACCTGCTCAACTGTTTCAGTGTTTTTGTTTATAGTTAAGGACTCACTTCTCCTGTGTATGAGAAACTCCATTGTGCACTGAATGGATCCTGAGAGGAACTTGAAAGATAGTGGTGTGGAGAAGGGAAGATAAACCATTGTTACAGATGGTTCTGATTATATTGACAAAAGTGGAACCCAAGAGAAGGGATGCCACTGAGCTCGACAGAGGAACAAATATGTCGCAGGAGAATGAAGTGATTGATCCTGTCAAGGCATATAGAAATTTTGAGGAAGACAAAGACATATAATCTACTATGGTCACAGTCATAGAAGATGGCTCTTGTGATTTTGATTAGCACCATGAAAGGGATAGAAACCTCACTGGAGAAATTCAACACAGAACTGTGAAAAAATGATTACAGACTTAGGTGATAAAATGAGAGGAAAGGGTACTTGCAGATGGCATGACAAGTTGCTAGGTCAATTAAGGATATTTTGATGAGAAGTTTGATGATGCTGTTTTGAAAGGACAGGGCTGCAGCAAAAGAAGAAGTAACACTGCTTGCAATGTTTGGATAGTGTAAGAACAGAAATGAAGTTGGGTAGTCAAGTATTGGTCTCATGGAGAAAGTAAACTAGGAAGTCATAAGGGAAGATAGGAGAGAAGAAAGATGTGAGATTAGGGAAAAAGGGAATGAGGAGCATCCCAGGTTTAAATTGGTGGGCAAGGTGAAGAGTGCAATGCAGCTAAATGGGCGGTCTTTCAATTTTAATGACCAAGAAATCCAATAACTTGTAGTAGGGTAAGGTGAATGGTTGAAGGAAAGAGAGAGCAAAGACAGAAATTCTGGGTTATCATTCCTCTCTAGGATGATTCTGAACTAATGGGCAATATTGGCAGAGGAAGATGAGGCCCTACAGTATTTGTTGAATGAGCCACATCTGGTAATGACTAGCTAAACCAATTAACACTAGACACATTCTAGTCTGTTATTCTTGGATCTGAAGGAGTGAAAATGGGGACTATATCAAAGGGAATGACTGACAAGGGAGAGAGTAAAATTTTTACAAGGGACAAAATCATTAAAAGTGGATGTGTCTCAATAAAATTAACAAAATGTGACCACAAATAGATAAATCAGAGAATATGTAGCTGGGGCTGATGTTCAGATTTTAAATTAAAGCATATTGTTGGGTAACATAGGGGTAAGCTCTAAGACTGAAGAGGGGAAATAGTCCACTCCCATGAAATGCTGATTCTTGAAGTCAATAAATGTGCACGTCCGCAAAGGCACTAAAGTCCTCAGGTATACTCATTGCCTGTGCTTAATTACCCATGTGTCCAAGGTTGGCTGAGGTACTTGGGCTGTGCTGGGAAGGCTGTCCCACCAGTTGGTTGACAGAAGGCAGTTTGTTCATCATGTTGGGTACCTTGCTTGTGGGTGGTATCACTGCCCCATAAGATGATGAAGCCTGCTGTCTGCTCAAAACAAAATAAAACTCATTTAGAATGATTTGCAAGTTTGGAAAGCAAGTTTATTCCACATGTTCAGATAATTAGAAACCTTCCTTCACTTGTTATGCTTGATAAAACTACATAGAACAATTGGATATGAAACTGAGCTACATGGAATGCAAAGGCCTCAGGTTCAGTCCTTCGGTTAAGACGAGCTAGTTTATTCTCAGCATCTATAACTAGAGAGAGAGACAGAGAGAGAGAAACCCAGTAATGCTGCCAATCCTGAAGGCTAAACATGATGCCTACTGGAAGCAAATATATGCAAATGTCAGGCGAGGACAGGATTAGACTTTGTTGCAATACCCCCCCAGCTGAACAGCCTGCTGACACTGTTTAAAAATGGATACCCAGGCAAGGCACTGCAAGGCTGTGAACGGTTGTAGAATCATAACTCAGCAAGACCCAGTGCTGTTTAAAAAGAATAAAGATCAGCTGCTGCACTGCACTGTCCTGCAACTGGCTAGATATACAGAATGCAAACATGTCTTTCTCTTATGTTTGATTGTTCCTGTGGTTCACTTTGGGTTTGGTTATTATGCAATTATTGATGAAAATGTGGGGGAGTGATCTTGTGAGTAAATAACTGAGTTTTTCACAACCCAGTGTCTTTTCGGTTTTGGCTGCGGAGGAAGCTAATGAGTAGTCTTGCCTCACAGCAGGAATGGGTTCTGTCACCTGAACATCAAATTTAGAGAGGAATCTGTCTGTTGCTGATGGGTGAAAAAAATGAAAAGGAACAGGATGGTCGCAGGAATTTTGAAAAGTACACAAGTAAAAACAAGTAAAAGGAATGAATGTAGGTACTAACTGGCGTTGTAGCAGTTGCTGTTGCTGCTGCCGGTATGAATCGATAAGTTGCTGAGGTACCAATTCCATCAGCTCCAGGCTCTCCTTGATCTTCATGAGGATTTCAAAATTTTCTCGTCCTCGTACCTGTGTACAATATTGAGACTATCACACTCATTTCTAATACTCTCAATCATTGGTGCCTATTTTTAATAAGTTTCTTTCCCCTTCTTTCTCCTTTGATTTTCTACTTTTAAAATCTTTCCCAAGCATTGTTCAGAAAGCATAGGCAGGTCAAATCAGATCTCACTGCATAACTGGAAACCAATAGATTGAAAAATAGTGAGATTATCCCCTTAACGGCCCAGGGCAAACTGTAGCACTCCAACTACTGCTAAAGATGAGGTCAACCAACTCAGTACACAGTTCAGGGAGTGACGCTTGGACATTTTTGGTTTATTTTTGCCGAAGCAACTAAGTGAACCTATTGGCATAACTCATGTCATTGAAAAGAAGCTGGAAGTGGATTGCTGGGTTTTGGAACCTATCACACTTTGATCCATTTTTAATATGGTTTGAAAAACTAAATGAAAACTGGACTTCTGCCAAGGTACAAAATATGAATTTTCACTATCAGGTACCAAGAACAAAAACCTAGCAAACAGTCACACTGAGACATATAGTATTCCCAAAATAGCGGGTATGTGATTTGCTCTAAATGCTTTTCCATGACTACATTATATCTCTGATTACCTAGTAACGGATATGGGTTCATTGCACAAATAATTTTTATACTGCTTCACTAATTGCCAGTTAACTTAACTCAATCCGTGAAGTTTTGAGGATAGAACATGAAACTGAGAAAATAGAAATACCAAATTGATACAATGGGGCTGATTTTTTGAGGCTGAAGGTGAGGCACATTGCTGCAGCAATGGACAATGAAGTTTGAAACAAAAACAGAAGTTGTGGGAGAAACTCAGCAGGTCTGGCAGCATCTGTGGGAAGAAATCAGAACAAGAAGGTTTATTCTGCAACAAATGCAAATTACACCTGACCTGAAAATGCTTGATGTTAACACAGGACACTCAAAATTGAAACCTGTATCTTTGCTCAAAGTTTAGTCTCAATTGTGATTCAGTGGGTGGTATTGCCTCTGACTCAGATGGTTGTGAATCCAAGTCTCATGACAGAAACTTGAGTATAAAATCTAAGCTAGCACTCCCAATATAGTACTAACAGAGTGTTGCACTGCACTGTTGAAGTTGTCGGTGCTCAGATGGGTTGTAAAATTGATATTCAGTCCTCTCAGGTGAACGTAAAAGATTGCAAAGCACAAATGAAAGAATAGGGGAGCTATGGTGGCCTGCCTCATATGCATCCCTTACTTTTCTAACTTTATCTCATCACGGAATGTGTGCAAAACAGTTGTAGATTTTCCTGTACCATAACGGTATCAACATTTCAAAAGTACTTCACTAACTGTGATGTGCTTTTGAATGTCCTGAAGGTATGAAAGGCATTCCATAATTACAAGTTGTTTTACTACTCATCTTTCACTTTGGTTAATATAAACATTCAGTAAAAAATACAGTTCTGTTAAAATTTTGGGGAATGGTTGCAGAAAGTGAACTGTTCCACTGTCCAGTGGTGACATTGCTATTTTGTAAAGAGGTGCCTTCTCTTCACCAATGTTCAAATGATTATTTATTTGTCCAGACTCTTTCTCTAAACTGTACTCTGAGGATCTATCTCTTTGAAAAACATTTTAGTAATGTGACTTCTCGTAAGTCAGTATTCAATTTCTTTATACTTTCTGAAGTGCCTGGAATGTTTTGAAGAAAGATTGTGAATTACAAAGCAAGATTCAATTCTTTTTCTTGGAAATTAGTTTGTTAACAGGATGCAGCATCACAGATATTTAATTCCTATCCTAGCTGATAGTCCTAATACGTTATTCCCAGGCCTTAATCAAAGCCCTGTGTATCTTTGACAACATAATCAATAAACCATTTGCAAAAGTATTGAGTAGATGAAATCTGTTTTGATCAATACAATCAAATGGAAAAGGAAACAAATGTAAAAGATTCATGTAATTTTGGTCTGGCTGGTGGAGGTGGACCGGTTAACTACAGAGAGGCTGGGTATTGGGAATTGGAATAACTGGCTAGACTTTAACTGATCCTAGTGATCAGTGTGAGGAAGTGCGCACATGTGGATATTGGGTGAGCACAGATATTTTCAATCAACCTGTTCGTTTGTGTTATGACGTATCTCTGAAACAGGTGGATCTTGAATCTGGGCCTTCTGGCTCAGAGGCAGGGACATTACCACTGCACCACAAGAGCTCATAAAATGACAGCTCATTTGGGAATTGGGTGAGAATAAGTTTGCATTAAATAGTCGACCAAGTACTCTTGCCTACATTCACACATGAAACCTAGATGAAGTACCTGGAGAGCATCCAATCCAATTCCGTAGGTTAAGCCCTGTTTCTTCAAACATCACTGACCTATTTAACTGTGAATGTATACTGTTGTTAGAAATGATAGAGAAGTAAGCATAGTGAGCTGTGGAGGCAACATTACATTGAATGCTTTGATGGCTAAAGAAAAGAAGCAAATACTCACAGGTACATAGAAAAATTCCTCGTCTCCATGCCTCCTCTTTTTGATACCCGCATTAGGCCCCTGAACTCCCTGTGGTGTCTGTTTGAAGGCTGAAACACAAAAGACAATAACATCTAGTCACTTTTCGTTGTCATTCCCTTGTGATGTGTTTAATAACCTTTCCTAAAATATTTCACTTTGAATCTCCTAAATTACTCCAGGCCAGATTGGGCAGCACACAGGCTGTTCTGCATTTATATTGAACAGAAGTTTCAACTTAAACTCCATATTTTTCTTACAGTAACTTTGAATTTTAATTGTGAATAAAATAAAAACAGTGGTTTGGGATTGTGTAGCCTTTGTGGACTTAACTAGAGGCATCATGCAGCTAGGGAATTGCCATCTATGCTGAATTGATGATATCAGGTGTGTCATTATATGCAGAGGCTGTGTGGCTAATGACTGTAAATAGAAACCTTTCAAGATAATCTGGACAGTGAGAAGTTTGACAGTGAGAACTAAGACCAAGTTGGTTTCTCAGCTTTTGAAAGACATAGCATGGAAGACCAAGACAGAGGATGCCATTCTGTCTAATCTAATTTTAATATTAATGACACCAATGGCAAACCACCCCCCACCCCCAAAACCCCCCCCCCCGCCACCAACATCGAACCCATCACCTGCCTGTGTTCAGACCCGCAAAACTTACTGCGTTTGTTACCATTTCCATTTTTTGCTGCACTCTCATTGATGGCTTGCTGCTCACGGTAATGGTCCTCATCTGCTTTCCGATCTCTTCCTGGGCAAGCACAGATTCGACCTTCAAATGACCGGCGTCCAAGAACCTGGCCACTGAAGGAGATGACAAGGGCATTCATTCGATGAGGGAACTGCATGAACCTCACCATGACCATCACCCAGTGAACCCTCTATTGTGGAAAAGCTTTCCAAGGCATTTCACACAGTGGAGAACTGGAGCAAATATTGTACTTTTGAGGGGGTCAGAAGAAGAAACTGAAAGCTCTGGCTGATGAAATGATTTAAGAAAGCTTTTAAACATGGGAAGGTAGATAGAAAGATTTTCGCAGGTTATTTCTCAGAAGGGGGAAAAGGTAGTTGAAGGTGCAATGAAGGAGAACGGCTGCACAGAGGTATGATTGAAAAACTGAAAGATCTAGGTCTACAGGGACTTGGATTGCATGAGGCCAAGCTCTGGAGTGATCTGTGGATAAAAGTTATATTTATGGTCCATTGGGAGACAGGGAACAGAAATGGTTCAGCAAGGATAAGAGAGAGAATACAGATTTGTATAATGGATGGAACAAGATCATCTAGAGTAACTTCTAAATGGGAATACAAAGGGGTGAATTTTCTGGAGGTGGCAAGGGTCCTACAGCTTCTGGCAAAAATGGGACATAACCCTGCTTTGGTAGGTAGCGGGACTTGACGGTATGACTGCATTTATTGGCAACTGGTAAGTGGCTCCTAGTGAGGACAGCAGTTTGTTGCTAAAATCAGACATCCAATTCAAAGGCTTGGGAGGTCCAACCACTGATAAAATGCCAACAGAGGTGAGAACAGGTCCTTAATTGGTCACTTAAGTGTCTCAATTGGGTTTTAGGCGCATGAACCATCTGCCACTTTTCTCGTCTTTGGCAAATGGAATGACAACAAAAAGTCAACAGGTAATTTGCAAGTCTTTTTGCCTCCAATCACATCCCTAGAGAGCTGCTGAAATTTAGCCATTTACTATGAATGTCAACTTTCCCTCTTGTGCCTTTTATGAATGACTTTGAAACTGAGCAACAATAACTGTAATACAACTCTTTAGAGATGGTTACTTACTCCCTTGTTTCCAAGGTGATGATGATGAGGATAGGTCTTCGATTCATTCCACCTACACAGCTACTGTTGCACATGAAATTGTAGAGAATTGTAGTGAACTCTGTTCCTACCTATCCAAAGCAGGCAGATCAGTCATTCAATAAATCAGTAACCAATAAACAAGTCAGTACATAACATTTTAGTATAAATCTGTGTCATAATAGTAATGCAATTGAAATTCAAAGACTCATTTCATACCTCCATTTCAACTATTTCTTACTAACCTCAAAGCTATGGATCTACTGTCTTCTTATCTCGTAAAAGCTTGATGATACTTAACAAATGCTTCTAAATTTAGCACAACTTCTTTTCTAAACATTATTGAGCTCCTTCACTATGGTGGTTCATTGGAATTTCTCCATTTAACACAGCTAAAGGACACTGCTGAAATACCAGTCTGCCTTTTCTTTTCAATGCTTGTCTGTGATCTACCCAAGATATGTTTTTATCGTTTGTTCAAGGGATGTGGGTGTTGCTGTCTAGGCTGGCATTTATTAGCCATCTCTAAATGCCCTGAAGATTATGTGAGCTGCTGCCTTGAACTGCTAAGTTCTTGAGTTGTTTGAACAGCCACTGTGTTGTTAGAAAGTGAGTTCCAGGATTTTGATCCAGCAACAATATAGAAGTACTGATACAGTTCCAAGTCAGGATGGTATGTATTAGAGGGGACCTTGCAGACAGTGGGTGTTCCCATGCATTTGCTGTTCTAGTCCAGGTAGGTGGCAGAGGTTGTCAGTTTGGAAGATGCGATCTAAAAACCCTTGGCGAATCTTGCAGATGGTATACACTGTCGCCACTGTGCATCGGTGTGAAGGGAATGAATGTTGAAGGTTGGTGGATTGGGTGACACTCAAACAGGCAAGGTCATTGATGAAGTGGCTGAAGATGATTGGGCTTAGGACACAGCCCTGAGGAACTCCTGCAGTGATGTACTTGGGCTCAGTTGTTTGACCTCCAAGAAACAAACCCATCTTCTTCTGTGCTGGGTATGACTCCCTCTGACTCTCATTGACTCCAGTTTTCTTAAGGTTCCTTGATGCTGTACTTGGTTGAATGCTGCCTTGATGTCAAGGGCAGTTACTGTCAGCTCACCTCTGGAATTCAGCTCTTTTACTCATGTTTGGACCACACCTTTAAGGACATGGGGACCCTAGTGGACCTGGCAGAAGTGAAACTGAGCTTAAGTGAACAGGTTATTCCTTTGCAATTGCCACTAGATAGCATTTTTGATGCTCCTGTTCATTACTTTGCTGATGATCAAAAGTAGATTGATAGGGCAATAATTATCTGAATTAGGTCCGTATGTGGCAGCAGTTTCCAAGAGTAGAAACAAATGTGTCAACATGCCAATCGGCATCTGTGGAAAGTCCCAACAACTGCATAGCCATGCGGCTCAGAAAGGATGTTGATACCTGGGTAGTTTTCCACATTGTCAGGTAGATGTTACTATTGTAGTTGTACTGGAACAGCATGGCTAGGGTGCAACTAATTCTGGAGCACAAGTCTTCAGTAGCATTATGGAATTTTGCCAAGATCCCCAATCTTTCCTTTATCCAGTGTATTCAGCCATTTTTCAGTTTCATGTGGAGTGAATAGCCTTGGTCAAAGACTGGCATCTATGATGCTGGTGTTTCAGGAGGAGGCCGAGATGGATAATCTACTCAGCACTTCTGGCTGAAGTGGATCAAATACTTTTGCACTGAAGTACTGGTCTCCTCCATAACTGAGGGTGCGGATATTTGTAGAGTTACCACTATCTGTAAGTTGTTTAATGATCCACCACTATTCACAACTGGATAATGCAAGGCTGCAGAGCTTAGGTCTTATCTGTTAATTGTTGGATCACTTAGCCATGTCTGTTGCATGATGCTTCTGCTGTCTGACATGCAAGTAGTCCTTTGTTCATATTTTGAGTTGAGCAACCCTTTGACTGGACTCGAAATGCTAACTCTGTTTTCCTCTCTACAGTCCTGCTAAGTTTCTCCTGTTTTATTTCAGATTTACAGCATCCACAGTTTTTTGTTTTTATATTAGTCCTGTTTTGTATCTTCTCCAGGTTGACAACTCATTTTTAGGTATGCTTGGTGCTGCTCCTGGCATTTCCTTCTGTACTCTTTACTGAACCAGAGCTGATCTCCCAAGCTGATGGTAATTTTAGAGTGGGGGACATATTGGGCCATAAGGTTACATATAAACATAGAAGATAGGAGCAAGAGTAGGCCATTTGACCCCTCAAGTTTGCTCCACCATTCAATATGATCATGGCTAATCATTGAGCTCCATGCCTTCATTGTGCCTTTCCCCTTTATCTCTTGATCCTGTCAGCCACAGAATTATAACAATCTCATTCTTGAAAATGTTTTGGCCTCAACTACTTTCTGTGGCAGTGAATTCCACAGGCTCACCACTCTCTGGATGAATAAATTTCTCATCATCTCAGTCTGAAAAGATTTATCCCTTATCCTTAAACTATGACCCCCTGGTTCTGGACTCCCCTACTATTGGGACATCCTTCCAACCAAAACTGCACACAGAATTCCAGGTGTGGCCTCACCAATGCCCTGAATAATTGCAGTAAGACATCCTTGTTTGTGCACTTGAATCTTCTTGCTATGACGGCCAATTTGTCTTCTTTTCTGCCTGCTGCATCTGCCTGCTTACTTTTGGCGAGTGATGCATGAGGACACCCAGGTCTCATTGAATATTCCCCTCTCTCAATTTACAGCCATTCAAGTAGTAATCTGCTTTCCTATTTTCAGGATCAAAGTGGATAACCTCACACTTATCCACATTATACTGAACTGCCTACTCACTCAGCCTGTCCAAACCATATTGCAACATTTCTGCATCCTCCTTACAGCTTACCCTTCCGTCCAGCTTTATGTCATTTCCAAATTTGGAGCTATTACGTTCAGTTACCTCATCTAAATCATTACCATATATTGTGAACAGCTGGGGTCCTAGTATCGATCCTTGCAGTACCCCACTAGTCACTGCCTGCCATTCAGAAAAATCCTACTGTTTGTTTCCTGTCTGCGAGCTAATTTCTTATCCACCTCAATACATCACCCAATATCCCATAAGCTTTAGTTTCACACATTGTGGGAGTTTGTCGAAAGCCTTCTGAAAGTTTAAATAAATCACACCCACTGAATGAGCCAGGACAGCTGATCAATGTTTCAGTAGGAGAGCATTTTGGTGACCATAACTCCATAAGATTTCGAGTTGTCTTGGACAAGGACAAAGAGTGGCCCTTGGGTGAGGGTGCTTAATTGGGCAACAGCCAATTACATCCAAATTAGACAGGAATTGGGGAAAGTGGATTGGGAGCAGTTATTGGAGGGCAAATCTATGTCAGGCCTGTGGGAGGCTTTGAAAGACCAGTTGATTAAAATACAGGACATGCAAGTTCCTGCAAAACTGAAGGATAAGAATGGGAGGATTCAGGAACCATAGATGACTAGGGAAATTGTAAGCTTAGCCAAAAGGAAAAAGGAAGTATATGATTGGTCTAGGCAGCTACAAACTGACGAAGCCCTTGAAGAGTATAGAGAAATTAGGAAGGAACTTAAACACGGAATTAGGAATGCTAAAATGTCTTTAGTAAACAGGGTCAAGGAGAATCCCAAGGCTTTTTATGCATACTGTATATTAGAAGAAAAAGGGTAGTGAGGGAAAGAGTAGGCCCACTCAAGGACAAAGGAGGGAAGTTATGCATGGCACCACAGGAAGTGGGAAAGATCCTTAATGAGTACTTTGTATCGGTATTTACCTAGGAGAGGGACATGAGTGATATTGAGGTCAGGGATGAGTGGGTGAATACTCTAGAAAATATCATTATATTGGAGGAGGAAGTTCTGGGTATCCTAAATTGTATTAAGGTAGACAAGTCCCCAGGGCCAGATGGGATCTATCCCAGGTTTCTTCAGGAGGCTAGGGAAGAAATAGCTGGAGCATTAGCAGGTATCTTCATATCCTCGTTGACCACAGTGACATTCTAGAGGACTGGAGATTAGCCAATGTTGTTCCCTAGTTTAAGAAAGGAAGCAGGGATACTCCAGGAAATTGTAGGCAGTTGAACCAGACGCCTGTGGAGGGGAAGCTCTTGGAGGAGGTACCAAGGGACAAGATATATACACATTTGGAAGAAAATGGACTAGATAGTGACAGGCAGCGTGTTTTTTTACTGGGAAAGTCATGTCTCACCAACTTGATTGATTGAATTTTTTGAAGCAGTCACGAAGATAATTGATGAGGGAAGGGCTGTGAATGTAGTTTATATGGACTTTAGTAAGGCATTTGTTAAATTCCCACATGGCAGATTGGTACAAAAACAATCACATGAGATTCAGGGTGGGCTGGCTAGATGGATACAAAACTGGCATGGTCATAGAAGACAGAGGGTAGTGATGGAAGGGTGTTTTTCAGAATGGAGACCGGTAACTAGTGGTGTTCCACAGGGATCAGTCTTAGGTCCTCTGTTTGTAGTATATATAGATGATCTGGAGAATTTGGATGGTCTGATTAGTAAGTTTGTAGATGACACGAAGATTGGTGGAGTTGCTGATAGTGCCGATGATTATGAAAGGATAAAACAGGATATGGATAGATTGGCGACTTGGGCACAGAAATGGCAGATGCAGTTTAATCCAGACAAATGCGAGGTGATGTATTTTGGAGGATCAAATTTAGGTGTAAATTATACTGTAAATGGCAGAACCCTTAGGAACATTAACATACAGATGGATCTGGGCATGCAGGTCCACAGTTCCCTAAAAGTGGCAACACAGCTGGCCAAGATAATTAAGAAGGCAAATGGTATGCTTGCCATTGTCGGCCAGGGCATGGGGTGCAAGAGTTGGCAAACCATGTTGCAGCTATATAAAACCCTTGTTAGGCTGCATTTGGAGTAATGTGTGCAGTTTTGGTCACCACACTATCAGAAGGACACGGAAGCTTTGGAGAGAGTGCAGAGAAGGTTCACCAGGATGTTGCCCAGATACAAAGACATTAGCTATGAGAAAAGATTAAAAAGACAAGGATTGTTTTCACTGGAAAGATGGCGGCTGAGAGGAAGCCCGATAGAGATCCACAAAATTATGAGACGCATTGATAGGGTGGGTAGTCGGAGGCTTTTTCCAAGGGTTCAAATTTCAATTACAAGTACAACAGGTTCAAGGTGAGAGGGGGACGGTTTAAGGGAGATGTGTGAGGGAAGTTTTTCATGCAGAGAGTAGTAGGAGCCTGGAACGCACTGCCAGAACAGGTGGTGGAAGCAGGCACATTGGCGACATTCAAGAGGCATCTGGATGGTTACATGAGTAGGGAGGGAATAGGCCACAGGCCGAATAAGGGGAGAAGTTTAGTTAGGGCATGATGATCAGCATAGTCTTGGAGAGCTGAAGGGTCTGTTCCTGTGCTGTACTTCTCTTTTGTTCACTGCCTTCCCTAATCAACTGTATGATTTAAATCCTCAAAGAATTCCAGTAGATTTGTCAGGCATGATTTCGCTTTTGTAAATCCATGCTCACTGTGTCAGATTCTACCAGTGTTTTCTAAGTACTTTGTTATAAATTCCTTGATAATGGTCGCTAGCATCTTCCCCACTATTGACATCAGACTCAATGGTCTATAATCCCTCTTTTCAAATAGTGGGATTACATTAGCTTTCTTGCAATCTGTAGGAACTGTTCCAGAATTCAAAGAATCTTGGAACATGACCACCAATGCATCCACTATTTCTACTGCCATCCCCTTAAGCACTCTGCAATGTAGATAATCAGCCCCTGGAGGTTTAACAGCCTTCAATCTCATTAATTTCTCCAACATCATTTCTCTACTAATATAGGCTTCAGTTCCTCCCTCTCATTAAACCCTGCATTTTTCATCCTTTCTGGCACATTATTCGTGTACTCCTTTGAGAAGACAGAAGCAAAGAATGAATTTAGCTTGTCAATCATTTCATTGTCCTTAATTATAAATTCTCCTGTTTTTGACTGTAAGGGACCTACATTAGATTTCACCAATTTTTTTTTCGAATACCTATAGAAACTTTTACAGTCAGTTCTTATGTTCCCTGCAAATTTACTCTCATAATCTATTTTCTCATTCTTAATCAATTCCTTGGTTCACCTTTGCTGACTTTTAAATTGTTCCCAATCCTCAGGTCCATTGTTTTTGCTTGCCAATTTGTATGCTGCTTTTTTGCATCTAATATTCTCTCTAACTTCCCTTATAAGCCATGGTTTGGCCACTGTTCTCTTGTGCTCCTGCTGATGGCTCCCAGCACCTCATGGATGTCCAATGTTGAATTATTACTTCTGTTCCAAGTCTGTCTTTATTTAGCAAGGGTGTCTGCAATGTGAATACATGACTTTGTACGAACAAAGACTTTGCAGTGGTCACTTTTACATACTGTCATGGTCAGCTGCATCCAAAAGAAATACACTGGTAAGGATGAGGTCAAGTAGATCTTTCTCTCTTGTTGATTCCCCACCACCTGCTTCAGATCCAGTCTAGCAGCTATATACTTTAGGACTCAGACAGCTTCATCTGTATTGGTGCTACTTAGCCACTTTAGTCTACTTAGCCACTCTAGCCGGAGTAGATCATTGGTCTTGCCACCATCGTTACTTCTCCCGAGTTCTGTTCAACATGGAATAGTTCTGATTAAACAGCCGAAAGGGTGCAATAGGTAGTCATCAGCAGGAGATTTCCTTGGCCAATTTTGATCCGATGCTATGAGAGTTCATGGGGTTTAATGTTCAGAAATTCTAGGGCAATTCCTTCACAACTATATCCTTCACAACATATCACTGCAATGACATAGCTGATGGGTCTAGTGTATGCATAAGAAAGGACATACTCTGTGATGCTGTTTTCAGAATTTGTTGTCCTTACTACCTTATATTCTAAACTGACAGTTTTGATTCAGTGTTAAATTTTGTACATTACACACTGTGATATATACTAAGCACATTATTACATAAAAGAACAATCAGAATTTACCTGGTACTGCAATATTTCTTATAGTTTTAATCTTTGTTCTCTCCAGCTTGTTTAACCTTTACCAACAATTCAGTGATGGCAGAATAATTGGGCCCTTAGTTTCCAGCAAAAAACATTCCATACCTTACACTAGGTGTCAGTATAACCTCAGGAGTCTGTTGTTTGTGGGACTTCCTTGTTCAAAACATAATTTTTTTGATTCAGGATCCAGAATTTTGCTTAAGGTAGTTTTCATCATCTCAAACATTGTAATTTCTACAATAACATATGTTGTCGTGATTTCTGACAATGCACTGGAGGAGTGGTGGTGTGGTAGTAATCCAGAGTCCCATACTAATGTTCTGAGGATATAGGTTTGGATCCACCATAGCAGATTATGAAATTTTAATTCAACAGAAATCTGGAATTACAAAATAACCTAATGTGACCATTGTTTCACTGTCTTAATATCCATCTGGTTCACTAATGCCCTTTAGATAAGGAAATCTGCCGTCCTTACTTGGTCTTGCCTACATATGACAACAATGTGGCCAACTTCTAATTGCCATCTGTAATGGCCTAGCAAGCCACTTTGTTATATCAAACTGTTACTAAGTCTAAGGAAAGGAATAAAACTGGATGGACCACATGGCAACAAACCAAACACCAGAAATGACAGGTTAAACAAAGCATTTGGCTGTGCAAGTTCTCCTTATGAATATGTGTGAGAATTGATAGAGCTGTCTCACACTGTACTCTAGCATTACTGACATAGTCATGACCTGGGAAACCTGAACATTGATTGTGGACACCATGAAGTTTGACCTGTAGGCGACTCCAGACCTGTAGCAATGTGTAGACTCGTAACTGCCTTCTGGGCAATTTAGGGATTGGACAATGAATGCTGGCCTAGCCTGCAACATCCACATCCAATGAATAAATAAAAAAAAATCAAACTGCATCAGGTCAAACATGGTCAGAAAGTAACTGATTACCACCTAATAACTCTAATTGGCTAATGAATCATTTCTCCTTTTTGTTCAACACTACTTGGAGGAAGCAGTGAGCATGCAGGGGCATAGAATGCATAATGGATGGGGGACTTCATGTCCATCATCAAGAATGACTTGGTAGCACCACTGCTGAATGATTTGGCCATGTCCTAAAGCAATTAGTTGCCAGATTGGGTCCATATCAAGTGGTGAGGGAACCAGCAGATACATTTGTCCATAATGCTGTCTAAGCTAGTGACCCCCACATCCCGTGAATGGATAAGAATTGTTCAAGTTTTAACTGCAAAGAAAATCTAGCTGGAGAGTATAACTAACTGATGAGTCTGATCCACATGCATCATCTATTTGAATGATTCTTCACGCTTTTCTCTCTTTTCATGTTACACGGAGATACCACAATGCTGGTTGTTCACTTTCATAACAGTCACCAATTTTGAATTTGACAGGCAGTTTTATAGCTGGATGCCCTTACTGCTGAAAACCTTCCTCATTTAGCCAGGCTGGGGACTAGCACTAATACACACTGATTTGCCTCTACCAGTGCTAGGATTTTTTTTGGGGTGGCCAACAAGCCCTGGGGTGGGTCTCGAACTCTGAGGCTTCAAACCTTCTGTTTCCTATTTCAATTCTTGAAAATATTATAAAAGACACTTATGGTCTTGCTCCTAATTCATGGGTCCTATTGCACAATGATTTTTGGATGAGCCAAACCTCTATATTTGTTCACATTTCACAGAAAAATATCTTCCTTCCTGACTAGATCAAGGACATTTCAATCTAATCTACCTTGCTTGGAAATAAAAGCAAAAATTAAAGACAAATGTTTGCAAAGTACCTGTGGAGGCTCAAATGGCACCAAGACGCTCTGCCGTCCTGTGACAGCATCATCAATGTATTGAGCAAGGTTGTTTCCTTCCACCCTGATCAGGTGACTCGCTGGAGCGGACTGGCCTGGAAGGACGGCAGTGACACACAGGCTATAAAATGCGACCAAGACAGAACTGAATAATGACGGTCCAATGAGGATTCACCCAGAAGGAAGCATACAGACCCAACAGTGAAATAACATTCAGAGATAGTAGGAACTGCCGATGTTAGCGAATCTGAGATAATGAGTGAAATCTGGTTATCTAGTGAAATAACATTTTCCATTTGTCTAACTTACTCCATTTTATTATTTATTTGGAATAAGATGTGAATAAATGAGAGTCATGAAGATCTGAATGAAATATAGCGCACCAACTCAGGCTGGCGTTCAGAAGACAGATCTCTGAGGCAGGATTACAGGCTTCATTCAATTCACTAACAACCTTGCTTTCCTCTTCCAACTTCTTCTCTTCTCTCCTCATGTTAGCAAAGATCAATAAATGTCATCCTACTTTCATCAATCTCACTCAAGCAGTCAAACTGCATACATATATTATGTACAATAATATTATCTATGCAATTTGAGATTGCTGATAAGTTATTCAGCTGTGGAGATGCATCATAATTGAATGTGAACCTTAGCCCAAGCCTAATCCTGGCCTCATCCAGAAGCAGTTAGTGACAAGTAATCCGGAAGGGGAAATTGGCCCACTTTTTCTCATCATTAATCTAGAGGCATAAAGGTAATTTGCAGTGCTTCCTGTCACTGTCATAGTTGACATCTGCACATGCATTAAAAAGAGCCAGCGGTCTTCTTCATCTATGGCACACCAGACTGTAAACAAATTGGCATTCCAAGATATTTATCTAAACAGGGGATTAGAACGGGATGATCAATTTTTACCTATGTTTGGAAATTTCATTGCATTTGAGAAGGGGTGGAGAAGATGGATCATAACTGCATTGTCTGGCAAGGCAAGGTAAAGAATTAGGAGCCGATAAGTTTAGAGATAACACTGCTGCCAACAGAGTTTGCTGAGCTTAGTAAATAGCTGTAGTACAAATGAGCTGATTTATTTTATTTCTACCAAAGCTGTTTAATAGACTCATCACAATCTAACTGGCAGGAGTAACCCAGACTACAGTTGCAACAAGGCCTTACCTGCAGGTAGTTAATAAGTGGGCATGATAAATTTTCATTTGGCAGATATAAAACTGATTGAAAATTTGCTACTGAGCTCGATTGCAGAAGGCAAATTATTCTTCAATGCAAGTTTGGCAATGTTCCTGACAACAAACAATTTACACATAAATTGGCTAATTTTGCCAGTTTGTTCACTGGTCCTCATTTGTAAAACTGCTGGGTGTCAACATAATTGAACTTGGAAAAATTGGCATTTATACCATATCTACTGATAAAGATAAAAACATGAAGACACTTTGGCATACTAAACCCTGCATGCACAGAGTATATACATTGAATTACGATTTCAGCTGTGGTGCTGGCGTCAGCTGCTGAGAAAACACCCACTTATTTCCCAACAGGTTAGAAGGAAAGTCAGAGGAAGAGCCAGTCCCAGACTGCATTGCTGAGCAATTGTTTTTGATTAGGTGAGGGAGTATATTGCTGTCTGCTTTTTCAGCAGAGGATGGACAGGGAAATACATATGATGCTGGGGAGGAAAATATCAATTCCCCCTGTTATTGCTTATGCATTCTGTTCTCTTTTCTACGAAGTTGTTTTTATTTTTGAGTTCTTTCATTGAAGGATTCTCCTCCTGAACCTCTCCCCTCATAAGGTATGGTGACTATCAGATTAAACCACCACCTGTCTAATGAGGGAGCTGCCCTCTGGTGTGGTAGGACAATGGCAACATTGCTTTATAATTTAATACAGCAACAAAGAATATGGACGGTGAAAGATAAATTTCATTTTCATCATGGTTTAAAGTGGGGGCGGGGTGCACTTTTGCACATTAAGTATGCAAATTACATCACGTGAAGAAATGGAAGTTGCAAGTACAAAAGAACTTTGCAGTGTGGACATGTACAGCATCATTTGTAACATGTGAAGAAGGGTGGAGGGAGCTGGGGTTAGTGATTGGCAATACAGTGTAGGTGGAATTGTTTACAGGCACCATGATTCCAGCCCATCCTCACAGGGAGACTTTCAGACTGGAAAATGCATGATAAAATAAACAACCAATTTAAAATGAATGAGTTGTTTCTCTGCAAGGATATTGATACTCCTATTCCTCAGAACAGACAGTCCCTGTTTTTAAGCTAACTTCAGTCTAAGGCAAGTTTATTCAGTTTATTATTAATACAGTGAATAATTTTTGCTTCTTCAGATCCCACCTTGAGTGAGAAACGAGGGTATATCCCCAGTACTGTCATGAGCACTAGAGACTGTTGCAAAAGCTTTGCATAAGCCATGCCTGGAATGCACTGTGGGAAGTGCCACTAATTCCATAATGTGGGGGTAGATTTGTAGCCACTAGCATACCTGTTACAGGGAGTAACTATACAAAGTTCATTGCAACAAATCTTTCTGACAGCACGGAATAGGCTACCACTTACCAGAACATTCAACCAATGGTTCTTACCCCCCTTACAATCTTTCAGTCATTTTTAATTTTCTAATAGAGACAACATGAATGGAAAAATAAATTGTCTGGTGCGCCAATGTGCAAGTGTGGAATACTACTAAAGGAGAATAAAGTCAGCAGTTCTGTACTTCCACAGTGAGCTGTGCTTGAAGGGACCACATGTCAGAGAATTAGCTACCGTAGGGTAATGTTGATCCTCAGATCTGTGATCTCTTTGGGTTTGACTCTCCAAAGGGGGAGAGGTATAATCAATGTGGAATGATGGTTCAATGCTTTCAGGACAGGAAAGAGCTGGAAAACCAAACAGATAAACTTTCTCAAGTCAAGCTACCTAAAACCAGAATTTTTTTTGTTTTATGTTTTCACATTGTAAAGAGGTGATGAGGGAACTGAAGGAAGACATGAAAAGTCTTATTAAATCCAATACATGAGAAATGAATGAATCACAGGAGTGACATGGTCAGTAATCTAAAATCATAGATGTTTACAACACAAAAGGAAGCCATTCAGCCCATTGTTTCCTCAATGGTCTACCAAGATCTGACTACACTAATCCTATTTTCCAGCTTTTGGACAATAGCCCTGCAGACGATGGCAACACAAGTGAATATCTAAATACTGCTTAAATATTGCTAAAGTTTTAGATTCAGCCACCCTTTCGAGCAATGAGTTCCAGATTCCCACAACCCTCTGTGTAAAAAAAATCTCCTCAATTCTCCTCTTTACCTCCTACCTCTTTCCTTAAATCTATGCCTCCTGGTTATTGACCCCCTCTACTAATGGAAAAGAGCCTTCCTATCCATCCAATCAATGCCTCTCATAATTATACACCTCAATATAGCCCTCTCTCGACCTTTGCTGCTCCAAGGAAAACAACCCCAACCTATCCAAACTTTCCAGAAAATTACAGGCCAGTCAGCCTAATCTCGGTGGTGGAATAGTTATGAGAAAGAATTCTGAGGGACAGAATATACTTGCACTTGGAAAGACAGGAATTTATCAGGGATAGTCAGCACAGATTTGTTAAGGGAAGGTTGTGTTTGACAAACTTTATCAAATTTTTTGAGGAGGTAACCTGAACTGTTGATGATGGCAATGAATTTGATATGGTCTTTATGCACTTTAGCAAGGCAGTCAGTCCAGGCAGCATCTGGTTAATCATCTGTGCACCCTCTCTAGTGGAATGAATTCCTTCCTGTAAGGTGGTGATCAGAACTGCACGTGGTACTCCAGATTGGATAGGCCGGGGTTGTTGTCCTTGAAAGAGGACCTGATCAAGGTGGATAAGATTATGGCCTAATCAACATTTTAAAAAGATCCAACATTACCTCTTTGTACTTGTATTCTGTGCTTCAACTAATAACGACAAGTATTTCACATGCCCTCTTCACCACTACCTACTTACTCAGCCAACTTCGGGGATCTGCTCCCCCTGATCTTTGGTAATTCCCAGGGTTCTATCAGTCATAGTGTAATCACTTACTTTGTTAGCTCTCCCAAAGTGCAGTATATTAAGCTTTCCCAGGCTAAATTCCTTTTGCCACTGCTCTGTCCACATGACCAGTCTGTTGATATCCTCCCGCAGTTTATAGCTATCCTCCTCACTATTTACTATCCAACCAGTTTTCATGTCATCTGCAAACTTCTTGATCATCCCCCCCTACACATAAGTCCAAATTATTAATGTAAACCACAACCAGCAAAGGCTTCATCACTGAGCCCATTGGAACCCCACTTAGGCCCATCGAGTCTGCACCAACATAACTACCACTAAAAGTGCACTGATGTCAATTTCCTGCACTTATCCCATATCCTTGAATGTAATGATATTTGAAGTACTCATCCAAATATTTTTTAAAGGTTGTAGAGTTTCCAGCTTCCACAACCTTTCCTGGCAGTGCATTCCAGATTTCCACTATCCGCTGAGTAAAAATGTTTTTCCCAAATCCCCTCTAAATCTCCCACCCCTTACTCTAAAACTATGCCCTTTTGTGACTGACGCATCAACCATGGGGAACAGCTGCAGTCGATTCACCCTGCCCGTATCCCTCATAATCTTATATACCTCAATCATGGCCCCCTTCAGTCTTTGCTACTCTATAGAAAACAATCCAAGCCCATCTAGTCTCTCTCCTTTTAGCTCAATTTCTCCATCCCAGGCAACAACCTCCTTTGTACACCCTCTAGTGCTACCACATCCTTCCTGTTGTGGTTACCAGAATTGCAGTTGTGGCCCGACTAATGCTCTGTATGACTGCAACATTGACTCAGAAACAAAAACAGAAATTGCTGGAAAAGCTCAGCAGGTCTGGCAGCATCTGTGGAGAGAAATCAAAGTTGATGTTTCGAGTTGAGTGATCCTTCTACCTTCTGAGGAAGGGTCACTTGACCCGAAACATTAACTCTGATTTCTTTCCACAGATGCTGCCAGACCTGCTGAGCTTTTCCAGCAATTTCTGTT